TTTTTTTTTTTTGTGAGTGAGATTAATTAATGCATATTCATATTTATTTTAGAACTACAGTAACATCTTCTGATTTCTCTCAACATGGGGACAGGAGAGCTGACAATCAATAAATTGGGAAAAAAAAGTAACTGGCGTTACTTATTTGAAAAAGTAACTCAGATATTCTCTTGTAAATTAAAAAGTAATGCGTTACTTTACTAGTTACTTAATCTGATTAAGTAACTCGCATTACTTGTAATGCGTTACCCCCAACACTGATTACCTGTGATTGCATTTGTATATGTCCAGATGTGCAGTCTAACAGTAACAGCCATGAGAGACTAGGGACAAAAACACTGGTGCTGTGAACTTATAGCAGCTCAGGCACATTGTTACAGAGCAGAGAGTGATGCAAGATGACAGAAAGTGTGTGTGGTGTGTGTTTGTGCTGGATAAACTGGCACACAGGACAGACACAAAGAGCTCTGCTTTACAAGAGCACTGAGGCAGGCAGCAGAAAGGACACCGGTGTGTGGGGTCCTGTCAGAATAAAGCTCACTGAAAGGAGTGAAAACAGCACATGATGTGGAAAATACTACCTCTTTGAATGGGAGAGCAGGATTTATCAGCACACTGATGCTTGAGGGGTTTTTCTACTTTCTTTCTTTCTTTTTTTTTAAGTGTTTTAGACTGGCTTGTGCATAATGCCTTCAAAATGGCCTTGTTACTGACTCTTTTGTTTTTGTGGATGAATGCAAGTAGTGATGCATGAAACATCTCTTTTGAAATATGTATAATAATATTCAAAAGAGATATGATATGTGATGTGATATACTGTATATTTATAATAAAATGTATTCCTGCCTTCCTGAAAATGTTAGAAGGTGACAATATTATCACGAACTGTTGTACAAGTAATTTTCTTTGCTGTTAATAATATATGCAAATGAATATTATAGTTATTAAACATTAAATCGGCAGAACCACATGTCCAAAACCAAACTGCTGGTGGAAATGCTCTCCTGCTCTTCTCTTCCTAATCATAGTGGATGTCAGTGATTCTTTTCTCTCTCTCCGTAATTCTTCTGCCTGATAGGAAGCTGTGTAAATCAGAGAAGTTGCCCTCGCACTCCTTTGAGATCGACAATGAAGATGTGGACAAAGATGAGGTCAGCACGACGCATTAAGCTGAATTTACAGAAAGATTCATATGGCCTTCTGTCTATAAAAATGTTGGAAATTATGTAAATGTGAAAGTAAAGCTAAGCTGGAGTGTGTTAAACTCCCAAATGCACTTTATAATTTTTTATAATTCGTTGTAACATATTTTATTTATGTATTTTTTGTGTGTAGGATACAACTTCTCTGTCATCATCTAAAGGCGGAGGAGGTGGAGCAGGGAGTGGAGGTGCAGGGGGAATCGGGGTTTTTAAGTCCGGCTGGCTCTATAAAGGCAACTTTAACAGCACTGTCAACAACAGTATCACTGTCCGGGTAAGAGTGCACGTCTTTCACACACCGTCTCACGTGTCTGCATTTGACTAGGAATTTGTGAATGTGTGATCATTTTATGTGTATGTCAGAGGGGAAAAAATACTAGATTAAGGGTTCACTTAAAAGAATGGTTTATCCAAAAATGAAAATTCGCTGAAAATGTGCACACCCACAGGCCATCCAAGATTAGGATGAGTTTGTTTCTTCATCAGGTTTGGAGAAATGTAGCACTGCATCAGTGTCTCAGCAATGGATGCTCTGCAGTGAATGGGTGCCGTCAGAATGAGAGTCCAAACAGCTGATAAAAACATCACAATAATCCACAAGTAATCCACAGCACTCCAGTCCATCAGTTAACATCTGGAGAAGACAAAAGCTGAAACAATTCCACCATTCTTAACTAAATTATGAAGAGACAACAGGAGATGGACTTTTTTTACTGGAGGAAGCGTTATTATAGATTATGGACTCAGATTTTAGTCTGAAGCGACGGTTTGATGTTAAAAACATCTTAATGCTGGATTTGTTTCAGCTTTTGTCTTCTCCAGATGTTCACTGATGGACTGGAGTGGTGTGGATTACTTGTGGATTATTGTGATGTTTTTATCAGCTGTTTGGACTCTCATTCTGACGGCACCCATTCACTGCAGAGCATCCATTGCTGAGACACTGATGCAATGCTACATTTCTACAAACCTGATGAAGAAACAAACTCATCCTAATCTTGGAAGGCCTGAGTACTTACATAGTTGCACTGATGCTTTCATTCTGTCAGAATGTGTTTTCTAGAATGGTAGACTTCTCTCTTCTCTAAGTTCATCTAATTTTTATTCAGTTTTTTTTTTTTACAAATTCTATATTATCAGAAGAACTACTTGAGTGAAAAATATTGCTGATTGCCTGATGCTTGTTTTTGACTTTCTTGACGCTTGTGCTTTTCCAGTCCTTCAAGCGGAGATATTTTCAGTTGACTCAGCTAACTGACAACTCTTACATCATGAACTTCTATAAAGATGAGAAGATATCAAAGGAACCTAAAGGCTGTATTTTTCTGGACTCGTGTACCGGGGTGGTTCAGGTCGGTAAATATATGTTTTTAAAGCGGTTCAGCAAACATTAACAATGAGGTGACCAGTGACTGATATTTATTATGGTCTCTGGGTTCACACAGAATAACCGCCTGAGGAAACATGCCTTTGAGTTGAAAATGAACGAAGTGACATATTTTGTCCTGGCTGCCGAGAACGAGTCAGACATGGATGATTGGATCAACACTCTCACACGCATCCTGCAGATCAGCCCTCCGGACGGCCCGGCTCTGGATCGCAAGAGTGCGGACCTGAGCGACAGCAAACAAGGTGAGTGCTTACAAAGCACGAAGCGCTGAAGTACAGAAGGAATGAGGTGCATTATTTTGTATGTGTGTCAATGTTGCATTTGCAAGAAAGGTTAGTGACGATTAAAAGTCGTTTCACACATGATCTGTTTGCAGTACATATGCATTATGGATTTTTTTCCGTGCACACAGATGTGGGGTAGAAAATGCATTGCTGGATCAGTGCAACGATCATTTCTGCACCGAGTCTGTTTTTGCAATGCTGCACACATTGAATTAAAGTGAGCGCATTGTTCATGGTCAAAATGAAAATGTAGTAATTTTTCCATAAATGCATATAGTTATTCACAGTCATCCTATTACTTTAAGCCTGTGATAAAGCAAAGAAAACTAAAACGCTTACCAGGAGTTGCAAGAATAACTAATGTGGTCAAAATGATAAGGTAATTGTTTTATGTGAAATGCATCACACGGGATGTGATATCGTGTGAGGGAGAGGCCAAAACCCGCATCTATGCAAAAAGCTGGTGGTCAGAGAACAACACCTTTTCTCAAACTTGGAACAGCGAGGCTCAGGCTCGTGCGCTGTAAACACATCTAATGTGAAAGCACAGTGAGCTTCTGTAGCGCATATGTACTGCAGAACATACTGCAGACGTGCTGCAATCGGATCATGTGTGAAACAGGCATAATATTATGACTGCAACTTCTACCCTTGATGAACTCTGTTTGGCCTCCATTAATGACAGAAAGAAGTATTTTCTCCAGCAGTAGCGCAAGGATTTTGGAAAGCAACTTAAGATCGATGTCCAACAAGGAAATTGGCCTATAAGATCCACAGTTCTCTGGCCCTTTTTTCAAAACAAGAGCCTCCCCTCAAAAACTAAGACCACATATTTTAAGGATTTTAATTTAAAGAGGATGAAGGTGTGATTCTATAATCAAACAGAAAATCTTCAAATGATTCTTTATTACTTTCAATGATAAGGTACTTTAAAAATGCATAGGAAAATACATTAAACAAATTCTTTAGACAAAGCTGTCTCGTGAGAACTTCATTCATTTATACATTCATTCATTTATTTATTGTATATTGTTTCTCCTGAGACCTGTTTGAACCACCAAATTTGATTTAGTAAGATATATCGCCTATTTGATAGGCATTGTATGCAACCGATGCATATTGATCAAACTGTATGATGATTAAGTGTTTATAAGGTCTGCTAAGGAACTGCTGTGTGAAAAAGCTCTTAATAGTCTCTACAAGTGATCTCACAAATCCTTCAGATAGGTCAGCTGATAATCTCCCTAATTCACATCATTTTCTTTTAGATCTTTCTCATACTTAGCCGGTGCGCTGAGCTAAAAGGATGAAGGATCACCTGACACAGAAACTATCCACTATACAATTAGTGGAATCTGTGACGATCACTATATGCTTGTATTGTGCTTTTGTTTATCGCATTTTCAGCTAAAATGTTTCTTTGTTGTTGTTGTCCAGAGATCATTGATGCGTCATTGAATCATGTCCCTGTTCAAAAAAATGAGGAAACAGCTGAAAACGGAATCCACCCTGAGCTGGCCAAGGTAATTAATGCTTTGTAATTCTGTCTTGTTACACAATCATTACAGCCTCGTTCTGACAAAAAGGAAATGGGCTTTGATTCACTCACCTTTGAACAGAGTTATTAAATCAGAGGACTAAAACCAGGGTAGAAAAAGGGAAAAAATCATTATACATTATAAGCGCACATTCACATGCAGCAAAAAATATATTTCAAAATATACAAAAAAATATATTTGCAAAAATTTGTTTTCTAATATGTTTACGCAAATATATTTTCTACTAATATATTTTGGCCCTTTTTTGTATATATTTGAAAATGTATTTTAAATGTATAAATAAAAAAAAGCATTCAAAAATATATTTTGACCTCTGTATATTTCAGTCCAAGAAAATGCATTCATATATTTGATTAATCTTTATTAATCTACTTTTGGCCATCAACATTTGTATTTAGCTTAAATAAAGGCTACTGAAATGTATTTTCTTGCCCCTGAAATGCATTTACAAATATATTTTAGTATATGAAGTTTGAAACTAAATATATTTTCAGTGTCAATTTCACTGAGCTTTATTGTTTGCAACATATATTTAGCATATATTTCAAATACATTTTGGCCACAATATATATATATATATATTAGTGCTGTCAAACGATTAATCGTGATTAATCGCGTCCAAAATAAAAGTTTTGTTCACATAATATATATGTGTGTGTGCTGTGTACATTTATTATGTATATATAAATACAAACACATGCATGCATATATTTAAGAAATATATGTAATGTTTATATATTAAATATGTTTATATATAATATAAATTATATGAATGTAAATATATAAATACATGTAAATGTTTTCAAAATATATACTGTATGTGTGTGTCTTTATATATACATAATAAATATATACAGTACACACACATATATTGAGTAAACAAAAACAAAAATGCGATTAATCGTGATTAATCATTTGACAGCACTAATATACAGTATATATATATATATATAGATATAGATATAGATATATATAAATGCAGTTCATGATCCTTTCAGTGAGTGTCATTCTTTTACTGTTTAGAATCTTAAAAACACCTCAAGCAAAACATTTATAGACATAAACATGTAACTAATGGTATGTCATAAGAGCACTGCACATGATTAACACTGATGTTGTGATGTTTCAGTATATTTCTGAGACCGAGGAATCAGCGAGAGCTGCCAGAGGAGAGGAAAGACTCAACCTGTTCTCTCTGGATCCTGATATTCCTGTACGTCTCACGGCTGCGGAACAGTCTTTCTTGTATCGTTTGGGGGTTTTGTGCAGGGCATTTCACCGTGGTTGTTATTTTGGTGTGTGAGAAACGCATGCTTTGTGTTGAAGGTTTTGAGGAGTCCCAGGATGGAGTCTGCTTCTGCCCAGCCGTTCGATGAGAAACTCGGGAAGAGACTGATGATCTCCTGCTGCTCGCTCAACCTCTCACTGCAGGGCTGCGTCAACGAGGCCGACACTGAGCCAGTGACTAATGTAAGATCTCATGTCCTTTATCATAACAGAACATTCATTCAAAAAAAAGTAGAATAGCACATACAGATAAAAATTTAATTTGCAGTTGAGTGCATTTGTTTGCATACCCCTTTCAGAATCTTTATCATTTAAAAGAACAGATTTCATAAAAAAATGCATTTTGTTTTTAATTTAGGACACTACAAAAAATGATGTTCTTTCTTAGCATTTTTTTTTATTTTGTTTTTCTGTTAAATATCTAAACATTCTTAAATCATGATCTTACTTGACATTATTATGGCATTTACTTGAGAAACTAAATTATTAATTTTAATAAGAAATAAAGTCTTTTTTTTTTCCAAAAAAAATTGGAAAATTAAATTCATTCTTAAAAGAAAAAGTTTATTTTTTGTTTTTCTTTCACCATGGATAGATGCTTTTTTTATTGTTTAAGCATAAACTCACTTAATTTTTATTGGAAAACAAGACTTAATATCTTAATATCTTATCTTATCTTGATTTGTACAGGAAAAGACAAAAACAAAATGAGACAAAATACTAAGAAAATAAAATTTGCAGTGTACTACTCTCATTTAAATCATTTCATATATATTATATTTCATTTTCATGCATATTCCACAAGACAAAAATAATTACTGAATTTACAAAGAGGGTCGTGTTCAAAAGTTTACATCCCCTTGATCAGTGACTGATTGTTGTTCTTGTCTCATCAATGCCTACAAAAGTTGAGATCCTGCTTTTCTCATCTAAAGCAATTGAGGGACTCAACTTTTACCAAAACGTGCATTCATTTGTTGCTCGAGCATGATACAAGAGAATGCAAACTTTTGTAAACAAAGATCAAAATAAATTATTATTATTATTATTCTGTCTTCTGGGAAATACTTAAATATCTTATATAGAGGGATATATGTATGTATATTATTATAAAGTTTGCAAAAGGCTTTATACATGTAGGCGACACATAGGGTGTGCAAACATATACCCTCAGCTATATATAGTGTATCATTTATTAATCTGCTTATACTTATGTATTCAACTTTCTCAATTTCATTTGTATGCTGAATGACTGCTGTCTCTCCTCAGATCGAGCCTTTCTTCGTGTCGGTTTCTCTGCTGGACATACGCGAGGGCAGGAAGGTTTCCGCTGACTTCCATGTGGACTTAAACCACGAGGTTGTGCGGCAGATGCTCAGTAGCTCTGGTAGTGCGGGAGATCAAGGCTCGGATGGTGCTCCGCAGGAGAATGGCCTGACCTCACCTGTGGAGAAGAAGACAGAGGACTGCCAGCTGAGCTCTGAGCTGGAGAACTGGCTGCGCTTCCCCAAACAGGTAACAGTGCAGGAGCCCTTTGATATGGAGGTGGATCTTCACAGAGGATAGATCTGTGTTCATGTGTTTGTGTGGTTGATCATTCCTGCAGGCGATTTTTTCAATTACGAACCCACATACAGACATCGTGATGGTGGCACGGGTGGAGAAAGTGTTGATGGGAAATATTTCCAGTGGTGCAGAACCCTACATTAAAAACACAGATTCCAGCAAGGTATGTCATTTAAATGAATTTACTTCATAAGTTGCTTTGAATAAAAGTGTCTGCTAAATGCATAAAGGTAATGTAATGTGTGTATATATATATATTTATATACTATATGGACAAAAGTATTGGGACACCTGACCATTACACCAACAGGAATTTTAATGGCATCGACATTAATATGAGTTGGTCCTGTAATTGCAGCTGTCCTAGCTAACAGGGAATGTTCTCACAACTTTTAAAAGTTATATAAATGTTAAGTTCTTAAATGTTCTTAAAGTACCGTTTATGGAACGTTCTTATCACTTTATTAATATTTGATAAAACGTTGAGAGAAACACATTCTTAGAACAACATTCTTTGAATGTCCACATACCGTTATTTTTAATTAAAAAATGTCCTTAAAATGTTAAGAGAAAACTGCTATTTGTACTTAATGAATGTTCTTAATGTTAGGAGAAAACATTTTTAGAATATTAAAAATAAACGTTAAAGTAATGTTATATTTTGGGTAAAAATAAAATGATCAGAATATTGTTGTCACGTAACTGTGTCGAATGAGCACGCACGAAGATGAAGATGAAGGGTAAACAGTCTTTAATTAATCCACATAAAGGTAATTCCACGTACAGGCCGGCTGGTGACACACGTATACCATAGACGAGACCCGACAAACTAGAACTGAACAGACAGGAACTTAAATACACGGCCAAACGAGGAAAAACACTGAATTAACTAGACACAGGTGAACTGACTAACATAATCAAGGGAAGAATGGGGAAACTAGGTCAAGGAACACATGAGGAGAGAAAGCAAACTATAAGTCCAAATGTTGGTGACAATTGTAAGAGATGTTTTAGTAACCTTTAAAGGGGTGGTTGACTGTTTTTTTTTTTCTAGGCTTGATTGTGTTTATGGGGTGCAGTCTAACATCTTAATGCTTAGTTTAAAAAAAAAACGCATTATTTTTCACATAATTTATCTTTGTTCTACACAGCTTTGTCCCTTCTCTGATGAACGCTCTGATGATTTCCTGTTTTTATGAAGCCCTTTTTCTTGGCTTTGTTTTTTTTTTGGGGGGCGGGCTAACATCTTAATGCTTAGTTTAAAAAAAAAACGCATTATTTTTCACATAATTTATCTTTGTTCTACACAGCTTTGTCCCTTCTCTGATGAACGCTCTGATGATTTCCTGTTTTTATGAAGCCCCTCCCTCAGAAATATGCAATGGGCTCAGATTGGTCAGCTGGCCCAGTGTGTTGTGATTGGCTAAACCGTCAGTGCAGTCCAGAAGCATCACGCCCCTCGCCTCAGTGCATGTGCTCCGGTTGTATTGTAAACAATGGCATCTGATCAGGGCCGCTGCTGGCCAAATGGGTGCCCTAAGCAGAATTGTATTGTTGTGCCCCCTCTCCCAAATATAATGGATGTAAAAAAAATTTTTTTAAAAACACCTACTATTGGGGTCAAAATAGAACTTTAATAAAATATAAAAGTAAATAAATAAATAATTTGTAGGCCTAATTAAATTGTATAATTTACAAATTACAATTGTAGCTCTAGACAGTTACCTAGGGCTATGATTTTATTAATACAGTTGTCTGATTGATTTTATAGTCTCAAGCATTCAGAAATCACGCAAAATAAAATTAAGCAGTTTTACTACGATAAAACCATAGTTAATTTTTGTAAGGGTTGTGATGTCCACATGTTTTTGTTGAAGAAATTAAAGAGGCTGTAGCATTTCTATC